AAGTTGAATTGTTGTTCTCGATCTTTTTGAGTGTAACTTCCATCAGAACATAAATCTTCTTTCGCTTCACTTCTTTCTCGGCAAGGAATAAGGTAACCACTTTGGATTTTCGCATTTGATTCTCTCGGTCGATCATCTTGGCATGGCTATCGAGTTCCATTTCTTGGCTGGCTGGGGTGAGGATAATCGTCCTAAGTTTTCTATGGTTTTTCTCTCCGGGTTCCTCGAAATACCTATTATATTCCTAACACATACTCATGCACACACAAGAATTAATAAAGAAATATCAAGCAAGTAAATAAGAAAAATTAAAACAAGTAAAGGACAGTGAGAAATATAAACAAAGCATACTCATATCACATCCTATAAGTAACATGCCCATCGTCACATAAGTAACACACCCATGCCGATAGTATCTCACTCATACACCGCTTATTCAACCCCTCGACACAATTCAACCACATCCAAAAAGATTATACAACATAGAACCGCAAGTTACTAGTGTCCTAACCATAGCCGCCGATGTACACACAAAAATGGGGTTAGTGCCTATTTCCTACTAAGGTTGGGGTTCCCTATCAAGGAAGCCTATATTTACACCTTATGCACGGACAACCTGTAATGAAACGGAAGGGGGTGGACGGTGGCTGGGAGGATGAAGGACCGGTAGCGTAAGATGTGGATGGAGGGGGAGCTGGGAGACGAATAGGATTCGGAGGCTTCACTGTCGGACACGAGCTAGCGTAGTGTCCGATCTCTCCACATAGCAAATAAATGTTGTATGATGGAGCATATGGACTGTAATATTGACACTCTAAGGGATAGTGTCCAATACGCCCACATATGAAACAGTACGACATCTTAGTGCCGGAAGTGCTACTTATCTCACTCATCGGAAAAGCATCGGCCAACAGGTCTGGACCAAGGTTGAGGACCGGCGAGTTCTCTCTCCATATCATCGTAAGTGGACTGTTTGGAAATGGTATAGTAAACTCTGGAAGGTCTATCATCGGTTCGGTTGGTTCTTCGGGATCTTCTTCAAAATTCACCATGTCTTCAAGTTCATTGGCATTCACCAATGGAGAGAACGGGTATGCTGGGCTCAACGCAACTGATGGAGTACGAGAACCGTCGGAGGATATATCGATGATGCTTGACGGACCTCCAAAGGTTCAAAGTGAGTTGAACGAACCCGATGAAATACTGATATAATCTTAGACCATGAAGACTTCCTTCTCTTCTGATTTCGGATTCACACAAACACAATCGTCCGAATTCTCCTTTGTCTCTCCCTCATAAGTATGTTTCTCGTCAATCTTGGTTACGCTTAGCAGCACTCCATATTGATTCCCCTCTCACAATCTCACGGTACTCATATCCCGGGGGTGGGAGACCCAACATCCTACCCCCTCTCCCAAACCTACCTCGGCCACGTCCACGGCCACGTCCCCTACCTCTTTTCGGTGGCATACTACAATACAAACAAATCATAAGATCCTAAATCCCATTAAACTAAGGTTTTTCAAGTGACCAAATCAATCTCCTAGACAGCCCTTGCGATGCATTTACTCGATAAAACAATAAAAACATGGTTTCCCATACCATCGTGTAACCATTCTCTGATACCACTCTTGTAACACCCCATACCCGTCCAAGCACTAAGAACAAATAGGGAGTGCTACTTAGGACCCTCGTAGTTGGTCGACCAAGGTTCCCGAAACGAATTCGTTCGCCAAAGTCGTCCAACCGCGAGCGCCCGGCCTCCCGGACACGGCCTAAGTGTTTGCAACTCGTACCGCGATTGACAGTTGTGTTAAGTCCGGACAAGAGTTAGAGAAATATCGGCCGACGGTCGACCCTTCCTTTCCGTCTGATGCCAGGTTAGAGAAACAGACTTACCGAATACTTTCTCATGTAGATCATCGAGGAAACTCCACACTGGCAATGAATCCTTCGTCCGGATACCGAGAGCGTTGGCTGTCCAACGTCCGGTTTCAGCATCCTATCGCACATTCTCGACCAAACCTATTTTTCTCTTGATAACTTCTACTATTCTCTCGACCAAACTATAAGTTTTAGACTAAAACTAACTTATAGACTTTACCTAAAGGTTTCTTAGCCAATAGAATGGTTATGGTCGATAGCCTTGCCATGGTACCATGTTCCGTCTGTCGGAGAATCATTCTGATCGTTCGTTCTCGGCCATTTCTCGTACTTCCTTACTCCCTCGCTTAAGCGTCCTGAACGACCAAGCCAATGTTGTATTTTATCTACGGATTCATTGGATTTTTCGACTGGTCGTTTTGCACGTATGTGCGTCCGGGTACTAGTCCCAGTGAGGGACATTACACCGGGCCCCCACGCGCCTCCTTCCAAAGTCTTGTTGCTACACGAGCCTTCAAATTCCACCTTTTCCCTCTTCCTTATCTGATTCAGGACCATCAGCTCAGAAGCTTCCTCTTCCTGTTGGTAGTAGAGTTCCAGAGCAGACCTCTTCCTCTTGTGAGACGTCCTTCATTGTGAATTCCCAAGATGAAGATTGTGTTTGACGGTGAAGCATCCTGGATTCCCTTTCCTTTAGCGAACTTGGTGAACAAATAACGAAGACGTTCTAAAGTCAATTTAGTATCTTCAAATGTATTTGGGAGAGAAAAAACATCAGACTCCGTGATGATGAATTCCTTGTTGTTAGAGACTCTCTTAAACATTGGGATATCGCCATCAGGAGCGATTGTTTGTAGAGTATTATCTAAATCGTTGCCTTCTTCAAGAGGCTCTTCATGGTGATCATTATCTGAACAGTTGCCTTCTTTAGGAGGCTCTTCATGGTGATCATTATCATCCTGATCACTACCTTCATCACCATCTTCATCAGGATCATCTTCAAAGGATAAAGGACATTCTTTTGCATCATGCTAAAGATAACCACATTTGGAACAAAAGTTCTTCAGACGTTTATAACAAATTTCATAATGGTATTCTCATCCTCACTAAACCGAAAATTTTATTGGAAACTAAGGGGTGTATCAACACTCCAATTCACACAGACACGAACAAACTCCACCATGTTAGGGGGTGTTATTGGTTTATTGATTTGTAAAACCACATAGAATTTGTGAACCCGTATTATTTATGAAATCAAAATACATGGATTTTGAAAATAACATGTTTTATCCTTGGATTTGAATCCTTCTATTTTACATTATCAAATCCTTTCAAACCATTTAAAACATAATGCGGATTTTAAAATCCAAAAACAAATCATTAAACAAATAACATAGCATTTTAACTAGTATTTATAAATCATACAACCAATAACACATGATTAAGATAGTTATTTTAAAATCAGTGATTAAATAACATATGATTTTTGTTTGGATTTCCAAATCCATCAAAATCAATGATCCAATAACCCCCATTAGTGTTCTCGTCAAAATCAACTTCAGCAACACCGCCAAGTTGGTCGCCTATAAAATTAACCATAGCGGCATTGAGAAACTGGATTGGAATGCCCATAATTTGGATCCAAAAGGGAATGATTTAATGATTTTCATCGCCTCTTCTGAAATATTGGGATACCAACGATGAACCGACATCATCTAGTCATTAAAAGCCCATGGACCACACCTTAACAACAATTGGAGCGATTCTTCAGACTTGAAGACAAACAAAACCTTTCCCTCGCCCCGAATTCGACCACGACAACTGTCCGCAAAACCCCAAATCTGTGGCAATTGATTGACAATGGCTCGTAAGTTATGCTCCTTCTTATTCACCACCCGAACAATGAGAGAGAACCGGTTGGAGTTAACCGCCTGACCACACAGTGCCGGAGGAAGAGGGTATTTCTCTTAAGTTTTTAAGAGGTTATTTCTCTTAAGTTTAAAAAAATATTTTTGCAATATTATGAATAATGGTGAATAGCTCGCAATATCTTGATTCATTACAAGACTTTTATAATTAACGTTTCATAACGAATCTTAAGTATATATATATATATATATATATATATATATATATATATACCTATATTAGTTTCTATAGACCAAAAAGAATCTCTTTCGTAATTAAATTATGTTCTTATATTAAAAAAGTCTGGATGTTATAATAAAATTTCAGTTTTAATTCTATTTTGAAAAAATATGATCCGACCATCGGACGGGTGCTAAACTAGTATATATATAGTGTTTGGTATATGTTCTTACTTGTCAAACTTATATTTTTCATGGACAATGTTTATTTTAACTATGTTAATTTCATCATAGTTATTCATATATGTTACTATATGTTGTTATATATTTTTCTTTATTTATGGAATATTGTTTTAAAAACCTTTTCTAATAAAATTAAAAGAATAAAGGTTATAGATTTAAAAACTAGCCTATATTTATGTTTTGTTGTAATATAAATTTATTTGAATATAATTAACTCCTATAATCGTGGGAGGTAACTTGAAATATTTTTATGAAATTAAAAAAAAAAATATATATTTTGTACCAATTTTTTTTATTAAGTTGCCATGAAAATAAGAGTTAGTTTTATTAGACAGTATAATTTTTGTTTCTCTTTACAATTTCATCTTATTAAAAAAAGGATTATAGTTATTTTTTAAAATATAATTTGCTATTAATGACATGTCACAATTTAATTGGTCAAGTGACTTGTGATTTAAAATATAAAAGATATTATTGTTATTATTATTATTATCAAAATATGTCATCAATCATCATCTTAAGAAACTTAAAATTTTAAAAATATATAGAAATATTAGGGAAAAAATAGAAATATATGGTAGTTTTTTAGATATCCTATAAAGCACAAGTCACCTGACCAATCAAATTGTAACACCCGTGAATTTTATTTTGGTCTGACCAGGTCGATTTTAATCGCAATACTGAGTGGTTTGGGTTGGTCTAACCCTAGGTTGCCAATTAAAAAGGGAAAAGCCGACCCTTGTTCTTTAGCAGCCGCTTTTTGACTTCCAGAGAGTGAAAGAAAATGTTTCAAAGTTCTACAGTGAGTTATGGGTGATTCTAGTGAGATTTCAGAGCTATTCTTGGAGGTTTTTTGCAAGGAGAAGATAGATCTTGTAGCTGTGGTATTAAGAGTGCCTTGTGTTTCTGCTGGTTGTGTGTTTTCATCACTTTCATCCCTTGTTATTTGCTGTTCTTTCTTGGTTAAGAGGTGAGTGCAGAACCTAGGCTTATCTAAGCTGTTTGATTCAAGTTTTGGTGATTTCTATGGTTGTTGATTGATTTTCTTTGTTTGTATGCGTGGTTCTTGTGTTGTGGTGCCTCTAGCGAGTCTTGTAGAGTAACTATTCGGCCATGGATTGATTGGAGAGGCATATCCGATGATGAGAAGCGAATGGAGTGATGTCAGGGCATCAGTGTTGATCGACACCAGTGGCGAGTGTCGATCGACACTACTCGTCATGTTGGATTATGTGGTCTTTTCATTTTCACTTTATTATTGTTGGTTATTACTTGGATGTGAATTATATTTCTTGTGTGTATAGCCAGTTGTGGGGATGAATGCCTCACTAAATATTTATGAAAATGCTTATGCATCTCTTTTTGTGATGCATGTAAAAGAAAGGTGTTATCGTGGAATCATGGCGAGAAGAGAAGAATTATCTAGGGGCTCGCAGATTGTTCTAAATAATTGCTAAAATTGGTTAGGAGATTGTTATTGCAGAAATTTAGAAACATGTTAGGATGTTATTCTAGTTCTTGATGATGACTGTTTAGGATATTGGATTACTTGCTGGTTTAATGCATCTGTTTTATTTGGATTTTTGGTTAATCTTCTGCTGGTCATTGTTACATGGTTTGGTTTAAATTGGAATTGAATGATTTAAATTGAGTAGGAACAGTTTAGCTAGTTTAGATGGTTTAAATTGATTTAGTCTAGTTTAGCTGGTTTGCATTATTTTGGTTAATCCGGTTTGCATGATTAAAAAAAATGGGTTAGGTCTTTTCAATTTGGTATCAGATTGTGATGGGTGATTATGATGTGATGTGTGAATTTTGTTGGTGAGAAATGATGATGTGAATTGCCTGCCTTGTTGATTGTATTTGTTCAATTAATTTTGTGGGCATGAAGATCATAGATCATTATCTCAATCCTTCAATGAGATTCCACGGTAAGTTGTTTGTTTTGTGGTTTAATGCACATGCTCCAATTGGACCGCTAGGGGTGGCGGGAGTGCAGCCTGTTGGGCCTGGTGGGCTTGGCGTGCAGCAAGGTGGGCTTGGTGTGTAGGCCGATGTAAGAGTTGTGCAGCCAGAAGAGATAGGTGCGGCTGTCGAGCAGTCGTACTATTTGAAGATGATAGAGCAGCTGCGACGGTTTGGAATGTTCATGTTCTTCAAGGGTTCCGATCCGGCTGTAGCAGATGAGTGGCGGGTGAGATTGGAGCTTTACTTCTAGTCTATGAGGTGCCCTGAGGAGTACCAGATGGACCTCGCCGCTCATTACTTGGTTGGTGATGCACACTTGTGGTGGAGGAGTGTGTTGACCAAGAGGGAGCAGAGATTGATTGTGTGTGGGGACTTCTTGGTAGAGTTTAATGCCAAGTACTTTCCGGCAGAGGCATTGGACCATATAGAGTCGCAGTTTCTTACATTGACTTAGAGTGAGCGGTCGGTGCGGGAGTACGACTTAGACTTTAGCAAACTCTTTGTGTACTCGGGTCGTGCGGGAGATGCAAAGCAGTTGCAGGTGTGTTGGTTCATGAAGGGTCTCAACCACGACATAAGGGTGCGATGGAAGGTGTGAAACGCGTCGTGTGTGGAGCTGGTTGAGGTAGCGACGAGTATTGAGGATGAGCCGAGGAGTCAGATGGTGGTTCCTAGTCGGTTAGTGCAGCAGAAAAACTCTCAGCCGCAGTCGGTTCCGAGTAGGGGTGACAAGCCTGCTCAAGGATAGCAGAGGAAGTGGGATGGTGCTTCCAGGGCAGGTCAGGGTGGTCAAGGATGCTTCGGGTGCGGGAGCATGGATCACAAGCTGACGAGCGAGCCGCGTGTGGAGACTCGTGTTTGTTTCCACTGCAAGGAGATGAGGCACATTAAAGCGAGGTGTCCTAAGGCGTAGTAGCCTGGGGTGCAGCAGTGGGTGCAGTCGGGAGTGCATCTGTTTGCTTTGCTTATGTGTTGATGTTTTAAATTTTGTTTTTCTATGATTGTGGGGTTCGGGGTTCTTAGTTTAACGGTTTGTGTAGGGACCATGTTGGTGGGCGGGTTCTCGTCCCACATGTTTATTTAACTCTGGAGCTACAAATAACTTCATTACCTCAGAGTGCGCGGGGGTGGTAATATCCAAGGAGATCTTGGTGGTTATTTCGGAGCTGTTACAGTTGTAGGAGGCGTTTTGGTAGTTCAGGGACATGCTATTGATGTGGATGTGCAGATTACGTGAGAGTCGATGCCGGTAGATCTGTAAATCAGTCCGGTGGAGCTGTATGATTTTATTTTCGGTATTGATTGGTTGGATCGGCATAGAGTTCATCTAGATTGTCACTGGGGAGAGTTTACTTCCAACGTACCTGACCGAAGTTATATTACCAAGATTTGAAACTGATTTCGGGGAGTCTGGTAATTTCGGCGATGCAAGCGGAGAAGATGATTAAGAAGGTGTGGTAAGCCTACTTGGCGATGATAATGATGCTAGAGACGGTCAAAGAGGTAGCGGTGAGAAAGATCCAGGTGGTCTAGGAGTTCGAGGACGTGTTTCAGTCGTTGAAAGGGTTTCATCCGTCCTAGTGTTTTACCGTGGGCAGCACCAGTGCTGCTTGTGAAGAAGAAGGATGGGAGTTTTCGGCTTTGCATCGATTACCGGGGACTTAACCGAGTCACGGTGAAGAACAAGTATTCTCTACCGCGGATTGACGAGTTGATGGATAAATTAAGGGGAGCTACGTGGTTCTTTAAGATTGATTTGTCGTTGTGATACCATCAAATTCCTATTGACGAGGAGGACATCCGTAAGAGGGCGTTCATGACGAGATATGACATTATCAGTTTCTGGTGATGCCTTTCAGATTAGCAAATGCACCAGCGGCGTTCATGAGGCTGATGAAGAGTGTGTTCCAGGCGTTTTTGGATGAGTTCGTTGTCATCTTCATCGATGATATTCTGGTGTATTCCTAGAGTCCTGAGGACCACGAGGTACACTTGAAGGCAGTTTTGCAGAAGATGCGGGAGCAGAATTTGTACGCTAAGCAGAGGAAGTGCAGTTTCTGGCAGAGAGAAATGGGTTTTCTAGGTCACATTGTGTTTGCAGAGGGAGTTTCTGTGCATATTAAGAAGATCGAGGCTATCAAGGATTGGCCGGGTACTACAAACGGTTCGTGGAGAGTTTTGCAAGCACGTCTCAACCGATTACCAAGCTGACGGGGAAAGATCTATTTTATCTGTGGACTCCTGAGTGTGAGCAGAGTTTTTCTAAGCTCAAGGAGATGTTGACGAGTGCGCCGGTCTTACTGTATATGGTGTACACAGATGTTTCGGGAGTTGGTTTGGAATGTGTGTTGATATAGCAGGGTAAGGTGATAGCATATGCTTCGCGGCAGTTGCGGAAGCATAAGGGAAACTACCCTACTTAAGACTTGGTGGTGAGCTTGTACTAGGATAGAGATGATGGCTTCACAAGAAGGCGGTCGCTTCTCTCTTGTGAAGAAAAGATGGTCGTTGATGTAGATCTGACACGACGGCGGTCGCTTCTCTCGTGTGGGATCGAATGAAGGGGAAGTGCTGGCGGATTGAAATACACTACAGAGATATGATTGGTCTTTGATACCGTACATGATCTTAGCCTTGTGGAATCACACATACAAGACAAAGAACAAGCTTATTCTCTTAAGAACGCTTAAAGAGAATAAGTGAAGAAAATTCGGCGTTTTATTAATTCAAGGGTAAAAAACTCGTACAACTGCTGCAGGGGGACTTTATAAGAGTCCTTTAGCTAGTCCTAAGGCCAAAATAAATGTAAAAGTGCAACAAAGGAAACCAATAAAACTACAAACACAAATCCATTGTTTTTGGAAAGAAAATAAGTCAAATACTAAAGCAAACTTGAAACCTCGTGACGAGAACATCTTCTAGCCGTTGATGGGGCTTAATGGACCTACAAATACTGAAAATACTGATTAGAACTTACCTGGATGCGATCTAGGCCCAATAGATGTTCTTTGAACTACATCTTGTACTACTCGCTGATCTACTTCAGGAGTCTTGTCAGGTGCCCGTTTGTTTGTTGGTTTCTTGAAGTAGATGGCTTCTTGGGTAGCTTGGTCAGTCTCTTGATGCTTTTACAAGTCCTTGATGTCTTGTTCTTTATCTTCACTCTCTCAATCACTCTCAAAGGTGATGCTTGTTTTGCTCGTCTCTTGTAATTCCATTGAATTCATACATGGGGAAATGGTATGTTCAAGACTCATTTGGGTGAATGTTTCAGCGTAAAGGTGGTACAAACCAGTTGACGTCTGATAAGTCTGTATTTCATCACTTTTTGAGCATGTATTCATCATCTTTTCTGCATCATTCACTTATTGATTCGCATCATATTGCTCACGTTCTGCATGTTTTGCATACTTATGTAGGTTTTGTGCATATCATGCATGTCTTGCATACATTCTGCTTATTTGGAGTGTTTCAGGTACTAAAAAGATATGCAGAGCAAAGCATAGGAACAAGTGTCACTCGACAGACACACAATCGAGTGGGATGATTGAGTTAGTAGCATATATACGTTACAAAAAGATCCAGCACTCGACGTACACGATCAAGTAGCGGATCGAGTAGCTGATCGAGTCGCAAATCGAGTAGGGGGATCAAGTGAACCAAAGGAATGCGAAGCAGAATAACCTGTCACTCGATGCATTCACTCGAGTGACGCGATCGAGCAAAGCAAAGGAGTTTCAGACGAAATCACCTATCACTCAACACACTCACCCGAGGCACACGGTCGAGTAAGCTGTAATGCTGCAGAGAAGAAATTACATGTCATTGACCAACAAGCTACAACTTTGAAACCGCTTTTTCCTTTGTCGTTTTATGTTTTAGGGTTTTCCTTAACATTACTATAAATAGGTCTCTTTTGGCATTGCCCAAGGGATCGAGTTTTTATCCTTAGGTTTTTGTTGTTAGCCACCAAACAATCCAGAAAATTGTTATTCAGATTTCTTTTAAGTTATTAAGATTTTACACTTAGTTCTTTGATCATTATTGTTTATCTTCCTGGTCATTTTTCTTATTATGGATTTTTGGAGAATTATGGGTTTTTCATGTTTAGCATGATTTCTGTGTCTGAGTGGTGTTAGGGTTCTTGAGGATGAGAAAGATTAGGTGGGAGATGTTAGTTTGCTAATTAGATTCGTTTGCTCCCGGGAAAGATTAGGTGGGAGATGTAAGTTAGATTCGTTTGTTCCCTTCTAGATTAGAATATTCATAACTAATTCTTATATGATCAAGTGAAATTAGATCCTAGACATTTCAGCACCTATCAAGTGTTTGAAGAAATGTATGAACAAGTAATACCAGAGATATACTTGCTTAGCCTAAGAGATAG